ATTGCACTCCAACCTGGGTAACATGAGTGAAACTCCGTCTCAAAAAAAAAAAAAAAAAAAAAAAAAATATTATTATTGGGGGCGGTGCTGGAAAAATAATATATTATTGTTAGTACTTCCTCCTATTGCAATACTCCTTTTAAATTCTTTTTTTTAACATAAATCTAACTTTGTTTATATTTTTCAAAGTCTAGAAACTATCTCATAACAATAACAATTTTATCTTCAGTAAGACCCTCCAAGACCCCTTCTATTTTAACCTTAACTGCATCTGCCAGTGGGTCCCCAGCTTCCTCGGGAGTCACTGGGCTTAAGCTTTAATTTCTATGACAGTTACTCACTTGGTGTTTGAAACTAAGTGTTTTAAAAATATAGTGAAATTATCAAACATAGTCTTCATACGAGGGAAACAAAATTTAAGGTACTTACATTTCATACCTCAATAAGAAAAGCAAAAGTATCTATTCCTTTCAGATAATAAATGTGTTATTGTATTAGTTGCATAAAAAACCATGTAGTAAACAATTAGTAATATGTGAATACTTCTAGGAGGTAACAAATTTAATCTCATAAAATTTAGCATAAAATTAAAAAATCAAAATAACAGGATATAGAACAGAGATATTCACTATCACAAATTTTCCCTGCAAGGAAAGAAACTGATGCTTTTATGAATCCATGTAACTCACCAATTATCTATCATATCTTCTTGTGGAAACGCATTCATTTTCTACAGCCAAAATAGATTTTTTTTTTTTTCTATTCTTTTCCTTGGTAGCATTCTAAAAGCTAAGTCTTAGAATTCCATTTGAAACCACCCAGCCATTAAAAAACACACTTGAAAAAATTGTTGAATTCCCTCTGGAAAAGAAATAAGTAAATGAGGGCTAGGTGTGGTGGCTCATGCCTGTAATCCCAGAACTTTGAGAGGCTGAGGCCGCGGATTACTTGAAGTCAGAAGTTCCATACCAGCCTTGACAACAAGGTGAAAACCCATCTTTACTAAAAATACAAAAATTAGCCAGCATGGTGGCAGGCTTACACATAGTTTCACCATGTTGCCCAGGTTGGTCTCAAACTCCTGAGTTCAGGTGACCCGCCCTCCTCAGCCTCCCAAAGAGCTGAGATTACAGGCATGAGACAGCTCTCTCAGGCCCATTTGTAAATATTTTCTTACCTTTAAAGCCCTATTAGTAAAATGCAACTTAGAGTTAAAAAACTGACTTCAGGATAAGTGAAAACAATTCTTTTCAAGGTGCCAAACCAGGAAGTACCAATGCTGAGTGAAAAACAGATGTGTCTGAATCACGTGTCAAGTAAGGCCATCCAATCACTTGAGAGTTTCCACCTCATCCTGCTGTAGAAGTGCTCAATAATCACCCTCTCAGCAGACACTGCACTATGCCCCACTGAGTGGCCCAGGATCATTTTACTTTGTAAGTTCTTGTACCATTTTTCTTTGTCTTTTAAATTTTTATCTTTTGAAATACTACTTTTTGGCTGGGCCAAGTGGCTCAGCTCTGCAATCTCAGCACTTTGGGAGTCTGAGGTGGGTGGATCACTGGAGGTCAAGTGTTTGAGATCAGCCTGGTCAACATGGTGAAATCCTACCTCTACTAAAAATACAAAAATTAGCCAAGTGTGGTGGCGGGTGCCTGTAGTCCCAGCAACTTCAGAAGCTGAGGCAGGAGAATCCTTGAACCCAGGAGGCGGAGGTTCTGGTGAGCTGATACCGTGTCACCCCCTCCAGCTTCGGCAACAGAGTGAGACTCTGTCTCAAAAAAAGAGAAATACTATTTTTTCTTTCACAAATTTTTCACTATTTTTATTTCACTATTTCTCTGGCCACTTAGGGAATCTAGGGAGCAGAAATTATTTCTGTGTTTTCTACCAGCATCTCTTTGGTTTAACAGAAATATGTCTCTAAGAAATGGAGGCTGGGTTGGGTAAAGACAATCTTAATGTCCTCGAAAAAGAAGGACAACAGCAGACTACCCTCAGTCCTGAGGCGGCCACCTTTTTTCTTGAGAGGCTACACTCCATAAGTCAGGTTGTGCTATCTAAAAAAAATAAAGACCCAGAGGCTGATATCCACTAGACACTCTAGCAGATAGAGCCATGGTGGGTATCTTGGTTTTTCCACAGACAGTACTGAAGCCCAAGACCAAGAATAAAACTAAAGGTGGTTGAATACATCGCGCCTCATAATTTTCAAAGGGAAACCTTGACCCAAAAACATTCTGTTAAGATCTCTGTGCTAGAAGATAAAATCAGGCCGGGCGCGGTGGCTCAAGCCTGTAATCCCAGCACTTTGGGAGGCCGAGGCGGGTGGATCACGAGGTCAAGAGATCGAGACCATCCTGGTCAACATGGTGAAACCCCGTCTCTACTAAAAATACAAAAATTAGCTGGGCATGGTGGCGCACACCTGTAGTCCCAGCTACTTGAGAGGCTGAGGCAGGAGAACTGCTTGAACCCAGGAGACGGAGGTTGCGGTGAGCCGAGATCGCACCATTGCACTCCAGCCTGGGTAACAAGAACGAAACTCCGTCTCAAAAAAATAAATAAATAAAATTGTTTTACACTACAGAGTCAGGGAATTATATTTTGCTTTCTTAACATGGAAGTATTTACAAACAGAAAACAAATCCTTTTAAAGTGCCATTCAATGCTCTGCCAGAAAAATGATTAAAATATGGTATAAAAAATGCAGACTAAAGGATGAATAGTTGACAATGTGAATTAGAGAGGGAAAACTGGCATTTGGGAATGTCAGAGGAAACTGAAAATTTAGTATTTTATTATTTACTATTTTTGCAAGCCAGAGTTAGGCTGAAGAAATGATGGGTAGGGGGTATACTTGAGATTCTGCTAGGGACACATGTAAAAAATTTAGTGGAAAAGGCGGGGTGCGCCGGGCGCGGTGGCTCAAGCCTGTAATCCCAGCACTTTGGGAGGCCGAGGCGGGTGGATCACAAGGTCAAGAGATCGAGACCATCCTGGTCAACATGGTGAAACCCCGTCTCTACTAAAAATATATAAAAAAAAAAAAATTAGCTGGGCATGGTGGCACATGCCTGTAATCCCAGCTACTCAGGAGGCTGAGGCAGGAGAATTGCCTGAACCCAGGAGGCGGAGGCTGCGGTGAGCCGAGATCGCGCCATTGCACTCCAGCCTGGGTAACAAGAACAAAACTCCTACTAAAAAAAAAAAAAAAAAAAAAAAAAAAAAAAAAAAAAAAAAAAAAAGGCGAGGTGCATGACTCTCGCTGTAATGCCAGCACTTTGGGAGGCCAAGTCAGATGGATCACCTGAGGTTAGGAGTTCCAGACCAGCCTGGTCAACGGGAAACCTTGTATCTACTAAAAATACAATAATTAGCCAGGTGTGGTAGCACACGCCTGTAATCCCAGCTACTCAGGAGGCTGAGGGAGGAGAAACGCTTGAACCCAGGAGGCAGAGGTTACAATGAGCTGAAATCACGCCCCTGCACTCCAGCCTGGGCGACAGAGTGATTTCTCAAAAAAAAAAGAAAGAAAGAAGAAAGAAAAAAAGGAAGAAAAAAAAAGAAAAGAAAGAAAGCAGCAGAAAACTAGTCTCCTGTGGAGTGTGAAAATAATTAAGTGCCAGACAACCAGACTGAGGTGACTCTAGTCCCTGGGTTTCTACTTTAAATAAATCCGACTCAAATGCATGCTTTTATAAATTACTAAATTGGGGGAAACAAAATTGAGGCTTAGCCAACTATAAACTGCCAATTAACCTCTGCACACATAACCAGAAAATGTCCATCTTGATCGTACAAATCAAGAAACTGTAACTGTACCTAACCAATTACTAAATTTGTTTTTTGCTTCTGAGACGGAGTCTCCCTCTGTCGCCCAGGCTGGAGTGCAATGGCACGATCTCGGCTCACTGCAACCTCCGCCTCCCAGGTTCAAGTGATTCTCCTGCCTCAGACTCCTGAGTAGCTGGGATTACAGGTGCGTGCCACCATGCCCTGCTAAATTTTTGTATTTTTAATAGAGACGGGGTTCCACCATGTTGGTCAGGCTGGTGTCGAATCCCTGATCTCATGATCCGTCTTCCTCAGCCACCCAAAGTGCTGTTATTACAGGTGTAATCCCAGCCACTGCGCCCGTCCTGAATGTGGTTTTCTTTACTGCACCTTATAAATGTCGTTTTTCAAGCCCCTCCTATGGACGACAAACTACAAACACAGCTGGGTACTCTACAGTTTTTGAATCACTCTTTAATTAAATTCTTTAATATTTTTGCGGTGACTTCTGTACATTTTTTTAGTTTTTTTTTCTTTTTTTGAGACGGAGTTTCACTCTTGTTACCCAGGCTGGAGTGCAATGGCGCGATCTCGGCTCACCGCAACCTCCGCCTTCTGGGTTCAGGCAATTCTCCTGCCTCAGCCTCCTGAGTAGCTGGGATTACAGGCACGTGCCACCATGCCCAGCTAATTTTTTGTATTTTTAGTAGAGACGGGGTTTCACCACGTTGACCAGTATGGTCTCGATCTCTTGACCTCGTGATCCACCCGCCTCGGCCTCCCAAAGTGCTGGGATTACAGGCTTGAGCCACCGCGCCCGGCCGACTTCTGTACGTTTTTAACAGGAGAAAAGAGGAACTCAGAACCCGACAGACCAAAGCTTTTTCCATTCATGAACCCACACCCTGAGTCAGGATTTTGCCCTGACGAACCTCCCGTGGTCCCTGCACAATTTGGGATATGGGGCGCAGCGGGTGCAGAGCTGCTCAAAGAGGGCTCAAGCCAGGGAACAGTCACTGCGCAAGGAAGAAACAGGACGCCCGGGCCGGCTGTCAGCGCAGCCGCCATCTTATGGCTGAAGGGACTGAGGCCGAGCTGGGCAAGAAGTCTGGGCGCAGATTGTGGATCTGACTGCGGGGAGGCCTGAGTCCCGCCACAGCCGCTTCCCACTGGTTCCAACCCGACCCTCCCCCTCTCTCGGTTGTCGGACCCAGCATTCTCACCATTTCTAGGCTTCCAGGGGGTTCTGGCGTCTTCGCTGCGGATTTCTCAATACCTGCAGGTCACAGGGCCACAAAGGCTGGGCTTCTAGGAGCGTAGAACACAGAGGAGGGAAGACGAGACCGGAAGCTCCGGCTGCAGCAAGAGACAAAGACCCCCCAAACCCGGAAGCCGCCCTGTTTGCTCCAGCTGCGTGTTTGATTGGATGGTTCCTAGCTCAGCGTCTCTGATTGGATAACACCTAAGGCCCCGCTCCTTCAGGTTCTGAGTAACAGAAGATGTGATCAGATGCTGGGCTGAATGAAGAAAGAGTGACAGCCTAGGCTGCAGGCTTTTTAGGCAGGGTTTCTTCCATGAGAGGAACCAGTCCCACTCAGAGATATTTGCATTTAACCCTGTGTGTAAGGTCATACGCGTTTATACATAATACATTATATGGCCGGGGGTGGTGGCTGACACCTGTAGTCCCAGCTACTCGGGAAGCTGAGGCAGGAGAATCGCTTGAACCTGGGAGGCGGAGTTGCAGTGAGCCGAGATCGAGCCACTGCATTTCAGCCTGGGCGACAGAGTGAGACTGTCTCAGAAAAATAAAGAAAAAAAAATACATTATATGGTTATTTCCAAACAAAAATAATATAATAACAATTATAGTCAAATTTCAGCTGTCAAGACTTTCCTGGCTTCTGTTTTTTTGATCAGGCAGCCTGAGATTTCAAGAAGGAGGCAATTATGGCCTGGCACAATGGCTTACTCCTGTAATCCCAGCACTTTGGGCAGGCTGAGGCTGGCAGATCACCTGAGGTCAGGAGTTCAAGACTAGCCTTACCAATATGATGAAACCCCTCTCTACTGAAAATACAAAAATTAGCTGGGCATGGTGGCAGGCACCTGTAATCTCAGCTATCCAAAAGGCTGAGACAGAAGAATCACTTGAACCCAGGAGGTGGAAGTGCAATGAACTGAGGTCTCACTACTGCACTCCAGCCTGGGCAACAATCGAATATGAGCCACATGTGAATTTTAAATTTTCTAGTAGCCAAACTTTAAAAAAAAAAAAAGGTCAAATTGATTTCAACAATTTAAGTAACCCAATATTATTATATGAGCAAGGTGTGATTATTAATGTAGCATGTATATATTTGGAACTATATCTTTGGAACTAAGTCTGTATTTTGCCTTTGTAGCACATCACAATGTAGACCCCAGCCACATTCCAGGCACTCAGGAGCCACACATGACCAGTAGCTGCCACTGAAATGCAGCTCTGACACTGGGTGGTGAAGGGCCTAAAGAAATTTATTCTGCCAGTGTGAAGGAAGGGCCTCTTCCTAACAATGTCTCTCTTCAGTTTCGAGGATGGAAAAGATAGTGGCCATAGAAAGAGCTGAAGGCAGCTGGAATAAAATAACCACATGTAGACAACTCCTCTCCACCTGTGGCCTACCTCGTTTCCAGAGATCAGACTGTGAAAAAAGGATGATAGGGCCAGAGGCGAAGAAAACCCAATGTTTTCATATCTGTACACATTCTTGACCTGAAATGTTTATATATGGAGAAAATAGGCTAAATGCAAACATATTTTGCTATTTGCCCTTGAACCTAATTGTCAGACCTCCTGGATTCAAGCGAGCAAACATTTTTTTGTCATTTGGCCTTAGACCTAATCATCAGGTCTCCCGGATTCAGGTGATTCTCGTGCTTCATCCTCCAGAGTAGCAGAAATTACAGGTATGTATTACCATACTCAGCTATTTTTTTTTTTTCGTATTTTTAGTACAGATGGGGCTTTGCCATGTATGCCATGCCGCTCTTAAACTCCTGGCCTCAAGTGATACACCCGCCTCAACCTCCCAAAGTTCTGGAATTACAGACATAAACCTCTGTGGCTGGCTATGATATATTTTTACATTTATGGTTTAGGTGATGTGTCCTTCTTCTCTGCCAGGCCCCTGCCAAAATGTGGGATAATGACATCTCCCTGGACCTAGCACCTAGGTAATGTGACTATTTTGCATAGGCCCCACATATTTTGAGTACTGTAACATATCACTAGACCAAACACCTAGAAGATGGGAGGTACCTGTCTATGCCCTGTAAACAGGGCGTGAGCCTACCATTCTCAGGAGCCTCATGACATCTCTCTGCATTCATCATCTAGGAGATGTGACTCTCTTCTGCTGCCTGCATCCTGCCCACAAGAAAGATTGTGACATAACATTTGGCTCAGCAACAGGGTGATGTTTTTTTCCCTCCTGGGTCTTGCTCACAGGAGTCATTGTGACATATCACTGGGCACCGCACCCACATGCTGTGACTCTGCTGCCTGTGCCCTCCTTTCAGAACAGGAATGTAACATATCCCTGGCCAACCACCCAGGTGACATGGCTCTTCTTTCTGATTTCTGCCATGAGTAAAGATTGTGATGTATCTCTGGCCTATTATCAAAATGATGAGACTCTGTATGTACAGGTGGTAGTGTAAAGTATATTACTGTTCAGTTCATAAGTGAGAAAACTCTCATACCTCAAATCAACAAATAGGGGGGATACTGTCTTTCAAAGTTAGGCTTAGGGAAATACATAAGATTCTGGGTCTCCTCTTTGCAGGAAGGTTATAGTAGATTACCACTCTCTTGTATATTATATAAACCCTTCAGGTGGTACTGAGAGTGTCATCACAGGGCCTAGCACAAAGGTGACATTGCATTTCTTGTAATGCACACCCCATCATCCATTAGGATTGTCAGCTCAGACGTGGACAGGGCCTACTAGTAAAGTCTTGAATCTCACACGTGGATGCAGTCTACAGTTGAAATTGTGATTTTCATAGCTGAATATTCGACTGCACTTGAGATGGTGAGTTATTTCTAACCTAGCTCTTCAGAAGATGAGAACTCTTTTATCTGGAACCAGCCAATTATAGAGATGTTGACTCTCATACCTGGGTCTGAGGCCACAGGTAAAATCATGGGTCCATACCGTTATGAAGGTCATAGAACAGTTTGCAACTCTCATTAACACTGTAGAAGCTCTCAGGTAGTATTGAGAGAGCTGTAGCAGAGCCCAGCACAAAGGCAAGATTGTGAAGCTCACGTGCACACCCAGCCAACAGCAAAAATTGTCATCTTTCCACATGAACACAGCCCACTATTGAGGTCCCAAGTTTCCGTCATGAAAACAGTCAAAAGTTGGAAAACTGACTTATAAGTAGATTTGATTTAAAGGTGAGTTGGTGATGCTCAGACCTATATTCAGCGCACCTTTGAGTCTGGGGCTCCAGTAAGCATTCACAGTCTGCAGAAGAAATTGAGGCTCTCATAAACAAATCAATTGCACCATTGAGATTGTGACTGCTGTGCTTAGACCCAACTACAGGAGGTGCTGACTCTCAAATTATAACTGGGACATGTGTGAAATTGTTAATCTAATTTCTAAACCATCCTGCAGGTGTGATTGTGACATATGCTCCTGCTCAGTACTTGAGTAATTTGACTCCTCTGCCTAGGCCTGATCCATAGTTGCAAATGTGACATATTGCTGAACCTAGCACATAGGTGATGTGACTCCGTACTCCTTGGTGCTGCCCACAGGGGGCATTATTTCATATAACTGGGCCTTGCTTCCAAGTGCTGTAAGTCTCTCCTTTCCTGGCACTGCCTACAGGGGATGCCATGACATATTCCTGGGCCCCAAACACAGCTTATGTCATTCTCCTATTTGTTCTCTGCCCACATGGACCACTGTCACATACTGCTGAGTTTAACATCCATGAACTCTTCAGCCTCAGCCCTGCCTACATGTGACATTGTGGTGTATCTCTGAACCCATCGCCCAGGTGATGTGACTCTTTTTTCCTCTGTGATCTCTGCTCAAAGGGGAAGATTGTTACCTATTGCTGGGTCAAGCACCTATCTGATGTGACTCTTCTCATCTTTCTAAGTTTTGCCTGCAGAGGAGATGTTGACATTTACCAAGGTGACACTAATCTATTCGCTTTGTCCTACTTTCAGAAGACATTGTGACGTATTGCTGGGCCCAGCACCAAGGTGATGTGAGTTTTCTGCCTCTCAGAGGGCATTGTTACGTATTTCTGACTTCGTGAACTATTTGATGTGACTCTCCTTTTTTACCTGGGCTTTGACCATAGAAAATATTGTGACATGTCTCTGAGACCAAAACCTAGGTGATGTACCTCTCTTCTTATGATGTGATCATGCCCATGGGACAAAGATGTGACACTTTTCTTTCCTCTTAACGCTACTCACAGAGGACGTTGTGACATCTCTTCACCTAGGTAATGTTATGTTTTTGCCTAGGCCATGCTCTTGTGACATATTGCTGGACCCGTAAACTAGGGATGTGACTCTCCTTTACTGCTTAGGTTCTGCCCAAGGAGAAATTTGTGGTGAATTGCTGGGCCAATACCTAGGTAATGTAATATATTTCTTTTACCTGGGCCCCACATATTTTGAATATTGTGAGGTATTGCTGGGCTTAACAGCTAAGGAACAGGAGAATACTGCCTGGGCCCTGCTTACATGAGTCCTTGTGAAATATCTTCATCCATCACCTAGATGATGTGGCTTCCCTGCCTGCTCCCATCCCACAGAGAAGATTGTGACATGTCACTGGACCTAGCAACTAGGTGATGTGTCTCTTCTGCCTGGCCTTGACCCACAGAAAGCACTGTGATATGTTCCTGGGTCCAGAACCCAGGTGATACAACTCTCCTGCCTGGTCTCTGGCCTCGGGGAATATTGTGACATATCCCTGGCCCAAGAAAACAAGTGATGTGACTCTACTGATTAGTCTCTCTCCATGGGTGGTATTGTCACATTTACCTTGGTTTAGCTCACAGATGCAATAGAGACGTTCATACATTTAAGCAGCCAATAGCAGAGATTGTATCTCTTTGCAAGGCTTTGGCAAACAGATGAGTTTCTGAGTCTTCTCTTTATAAAAACCATACAGAATTGGCATTAACTTGCATACTGTGTGAAGCTCTTGGATGGTACAGAAAGTGTCATCACAGAACCTAGCACGCAGGTGAGGTTGTGTTTCTCACGTGCACAACACAGCAACCCGTAGGATTGGAACCCACCCACACAGACAGAGCTCACTGCTGAGGTTCTTAATGTCATAATTCTCATATCTGGAACCTCA